AAGAAAAGAAAAGAAAAGAAAAGAAAAGAAAAGAAAAGAAAAGAAAAGAGGTGAGGAGCAGGGACAGATACTGCTCAATCTATCCCCGACCCTCCCTGGGCAAACCAGCACCAAGGACCAGGTAAAGAGATGGACAGAGGAGTGAGGCTCCACGTTCCTCCTTTCTTCTGTTCTCTGCTTTGGGAAGGGAGGCAGACAAAGAATACTGGGGGAGGAGGGTCAAGGATGATTCAAACTACGTAAGAACAAAATGCTCATTACCCATCTTTTCTTCAAGGAGACTATCCTATTGTTCAAAAACTGGCCAGATGAGGTTTGTTCCAGTAACGGTGAAGCACATTACAGATCTAAGAAACTGTTCTTGGCTTATAGTAAGTGTAAAACTAAAAAATACAATTTCTAAGACTAGACCTCTCATTATATTCACATTGTGGTATAATGAACAAAAAAAGGAAATTAAGATCTTTTAATACAAAACCCGTATTGAGAAAGGAGCTTTTTCAAGAAAGAATCTCTTAATTCGGAACAAGAATTACAGTGACTTCACACACTACTCCTACTACCCTCATAATAAATTCTTTCACTTGACATTGGAAGGGAAGGGAAAGAAGGGTGAGGGAGGGTACAAATGAAACACAGAGAACGGAACAAGCAAGGCAATGAGAAAGGCAATGAGAAAGGCCTAGGCCCTTGGATCATGAATAGCTGTATTCTCTTTTATTCCCTCAACAACAACATTTTGTCAGTGCCCAGTTATCATGACGAATGAGATCATATCAACAAAAAATGTCAATGAAATAGGATTCCCTTGGCTTTTCAAATTATAACAGTAAAGGCTTAAAAACCCATGTCAGTACTTCTGCAATCTTTCCTTTGAATCTTTACAGTTATGACCTTGTAAATCCCATCTATTCCACGTACTTATATTCCAACAATTAGCTATTTTATACAACATAAAACAAGCAGACCATCTGCTCTGAAATAAACATAGAGGCGAAGAACACACAGAGGTTCATACAAATACTTTTTTTTCCACTCTGGAGCATACATCCATACATGAGTCACCAACAGGATCACGGCCATTATAGCAGTGATGTTTTCAGAAAGTTCACTTGAACAGAAGGGAAGCCTATGTTATGAACTCTTCCTAAACCTAATTAATATGCATAAAAATTCTCATGTGCAGAAAATAGTAGTTCAAAGGTAAAATGGGGTTTCAAATATTTGAAACTAGAATCTCTACGAGTAATGTTAAGAACTTCATGGGGCGCCTGGGTGGCGCAGTCGGTTAAGCGTCCGACTTCAGCCAGGTCACGATCTCGCGGTCCGTGAGTTTGAGCCCCGCGTCAGGCTCTGGGCTGATGGCTCAGAGCCTGGAGCTTGTTTCCGATTCTGTGTCTCGCTCTCTCTCTGCCCCTCCCCCGTTCATGCTCTGTCTCTCTCTGTCCCAAAAATAAATAAACGTTGAAAAAAAAAATTAAAAAAAAAAAAAAAGAACTTCAGAGAGCTCCCAAATATTTTAGGAAATGACAGGGCATCTGAAACAAATCTTGTTTCATCACATTTCACATCACAGCAGTCTTCTCTTGAATGGAATTCGCCTACCTAACTGGATCTTTGTGTCCAGTGACCTGATCCAGTATCAGATACTCACCAAGTAATTTGTAGTTGTGCTCTCTTCCCCTCTGCCCATGTATTTGTAAAAGCGATGATCTGCTACCACCAACAATTTACACGTGTTCTTCATGGGATTAGGGTCAGCTCTTCTCTTCACCCGATGAACAAGCTCTAATATGAATTTGTATGCACTATTAAATCAAAATTCATCAAAACAAGGAGTTTTTTATAGTAACGCTTTAAATCTAGCATACTTTTGAAACAAACATTATTTGTGCTTAGTATCTTTAAAGATATTTTAAACAAAAAAACAATTTGGAGGAAGACAGAAAAATGAAAAGTCATATAAGGTTTTAAAATCATAGAATTCAGGGACGCCTGGGTGGCTCAGTTGGTTGGTTAAGTGCCGACTTCAGCTCAGGTCATGATCTCATGGTCCGTGAGTTCGAGCCCCGCATCGGGCTCTGTACTGACAGCTCGGAACCTGGAGCCTGCTTCATATCTGTGTCTCCCCACCACCGCTCTGTGCTCCTCCCCTGCTCATGCATGAGTGTGCACGTGCACGCTCCCTCTCTATCAAAAATAAACATTAAAAAAAATTTTTTTTTAACGTGGAATTCAAAACCAAGGAAAGTGCCTCCTTAATTTCTAAAATGAGGATACTTTAAAAAGTACTTCAAGTAAAATAAGCAACTAATTTACTTCTGGGCTATGAAACTGTCATTTTCTTCTAGAAGTCTACAAATTAACCAAAGTAATAATAAAACTATAAAGATAATCAGACATTAAAAACATTTATGGTAATAGATCATTTTCCTTATCAAATACAAAATTGAGAATTTATGTATTTATATACTATAATGTTAGTAATAAATTTTCTAAGTTTTCAAAAAATGAGGACAGTAGAGTATTTCTCCAAGATGGTTTTGTTTTAAAATGACTCTGAAGTGATCTGTCCCAAGGCTGATAGCCCTCTTTCTGAAAAGTACAGACCTCTCTTGGTACCAACTAATTTGTTATAAACTTATCTCAAGATTGTTCTCAATGGTACTATTTTCTCATTTTTAAATTCTCCAAATAAAAACACTTTCCTTCCTCACCACACCCACTTAAACATTATATGTGATCAATCCTTCTTTAATATTTACAAAAAAAAAAGTCCCCTCAGATTATTCAATTTCCCTTTTCTGCAGTCTTTTTCCAATCTTTATTGTTCCATTATTTTCTAGTGTTTTCAATTCTTACATTATAGGCAAAAGAATTAAATTTCTGAGTAAAACTCTATTTTCAAGTCAAATACTATAATAACTTGATAATATTTTTCCCCCAAATAATAATCACCCCTACTGAAGACAGACATCATGCTTGCGTCTCATTTGAAAAACTATTTGTTAAGTCTTACCATCAGGTGGCTCTCTGTCTACTAGCCCTTTTGGAAGCAACTCTTCATTATCCGCCTTTATATAACCACACACTTTTGGAGACTGCAGACGTGAAATATTCTTGATATCTTCAGATTTATAAACTAACATTCTTTTGTCTTTAGTATCATTAATTAGTCTCCAAAGTGGCTAAAATAGAAAACATAAATTGAGATGCAAAATATAAGAATTCCTCACCACTAAATTCTTAACAACATTCTTTGTTTCTAGATTACGTTCATTTCCAGGTTAAGTAAACCGATTAGTCATTTTATCAAAAATAAATCACCTCAATTTTTCTCAGAGTTTCTCTGCTGGTAAATAGATACATGGATTATTCACTCTTTGATTTTATGTATATATGAAAAAAGCATTATTTTGTACAAGTTATGAAACCTTTTAGAAGCTCCAGAAGAGAAAACACATAACCTTTTCCAATCATTCAAAACCATTTGTGTAGCGCCTGCTGCATACCAACCCTACTCTGGGTGACGGATGGCCTCTAGCAAGGAGGGAGACTGACTATGGTATTCTTTTCCAGCTTCCTTGGTATCTTTGTGCCATGAAGGTTTTGCCCACAGAAGGCAAGACTGAAAACTCACAGCAATGTTACCTAAAACCTATTATCGCTTTCAAAAGAAAGCAGTTTCTAAAAAATCTTCACTTCTCCTATCACAAGGTCACAGTAAATCAGAGCTAACATACTTGAAAAGTTACCCAAGGCAAGAACAAAGCTCCTGTACGGATGCTGGTCTCATCAAAACTAGGCAGCTTGTGAGGAAAAGTACCAAAACGATATTTTATATACACACGTGCACACGTACACACATTTATATAATACACATAACTTACGGAAATGAAAATCTACACCACAAGGACCTGACTTCACATCCACTAGGATAGCTGGAATCAAAGACAGGTAATAACAAGTACTGGTGAGGATGTGGAGAAGTCAGAAGCCTCACATACCATGGAATGTAAAATGGTAGAATGTGAAGTGCAGCCACTAGGGAAGACAGCTCAGCAGTTCCTCAAAAGGTTAAAAATAGAGATACCATCTGACCCAGAAATTCCACTCCCACTACAAACCCGAGAGAAAATATATACTCACACAAAAACTTTTGTTCACAAATGTCCACGACAGCATTATTCACAACAGCCAAACAAGTGAAAACAACCCAAATGCCCAACTGATGAATGAATAAGCACAATGTGACACATCCATGAAATATACTATTATTTGGCAATAAGAAGAAATGAAGTACTGACACGAACCACAACATGGGTGAACCCTGAAAACATTCTAACCCTGAAAACATAACTGCCTGGGTGGCTCAGTGAATTAAGTGTCTGACTTCGGCTCCAGCCATCATCTCACAGTTCGTGGTTCAAGCCCGCATGGGGCTCTGTGCTGACAGTGCGGACCCTGCTTGGGACTGACTGACTCTCTCTCTCTCTGTCCCTCCCCCAACTCGTGCTCTCTCAAATAAACTTTTAAAAAATAATAAAAATTTAAAAAAAATAAAAAACATCCCAAGTGAAAAAAGCCAAACACAACAGACCACATACTGTGATTCCATTTACATGAATGACCAAGCAAATCTACAGAGATCGTGGATTAGTGTTTCCTAGGTCTAGGGAAGTTGGGGGCAAAGGGTGGCGGGCTGCTAAAGAGTACAGTGTTTCTTCCAGGGATGATGAAAATGTTCTAAAATCGTTGGGTAGTGGGGCGCCTGGGTGGCGCAGTCGGTTAAGCGTCCGACTTCAGCCAGGTCACGATCTCGCGGTCCGTGAGTTCGAGCCCCGCGTCAGGCTCTGGGCTGATGGCTCGGAGCCTGGAGCCTGTTTCCGATTCTGTGTCTCCCTCTCTCTCTGCCCCTCCCCCGTTCATGCTCTGTCTCTCTCTGTCCCAAAAATAAATAAAACACGTTGAAAAAAAAATTAAAAAAAAAAAAATAAAATCGTTGGGTAGTGATGACTGCATAGCTCTAGGATACACTAAAAGCCAACGAAGTACATACTTTAAATGTGTGAACTGTACAGAATGTGAATTTTATCTCAATAAAGCTGTTAAATATAGTTGACTCTAGAACAATGAGGGGTTAGGAGCGCTGACGCCCCCATGCAGTTGAAAATCCACCACACGTACCTTTTGATGCCCCCAAAACAAATACTAACAGCCTACTCTTGACCAGAGCCTTACCAACAGCATAAACAGCTGATTCACATATGTTGTACATCACATGTATTGTATACTATATTCTTACAATACCTAACTTTCCCTTAATTTTTTCATTTCTAGGCCACATGGTTCATCTGTGTTTTCAAACTACTGCAAATCTCCAAACAATTTTCTAATATATTTATTGAAGAAGACCTGCATGTAAGTGGACTTGCGCAGTTGAAATCCATGTTGTTCAACAGTCAAGTGTGTGTGTGTGTGTGTGTGTGTGTGTGTGTGTGTAGTGTGTGTGTGTGTGTCTTCTTTCATAATCCATGTATGGAGTAGATTTACGAAACAAGACAATGGGGCTCCTGGGTGGCTCAGTCAGTTGAGTGTCTGACTTGGTCAGCTCAGGTCATGATCCCAGGGTTGCAGAATCAAGCCCCATGTCAGGCTCCTCGCTGAGCTCTCTCTCTCTCCCTCTGCCCCTCTCCCCTGCTCACGCTCTCTCTCTAAAATAAAATTTAAAAAAAAAGAAAGAGATGGTGAACCACAGGGCTAGCAGAAACCTCAAAAAGTTACCTAACCAACTCCTTGGTTGTAGGGACCGTCATTTGGCCTACAAACAGGAAAAGAGAAAAATGTTTTCTTCTGGATCAAACATCTCTAAATTCATATTAAGAGTTTCCTAATACAGCCAGTCTAACACAGAAAAAGATAGCAGGCTTTGCGATCAGAGATATCTGGGTTCAGACTTCAACTGTACCCCTACTATGTGCCTTCGAAAAGTAACTTATCTGAACATAATTTTTTTCATGGGGTAAAGTACTGATACATCTATCTTAAAGATAACATAATAAATCTAGTTATATATTAAGATTTCAAGACAAAGGCACTTACTATTACTACTAATAGAAGCAAATCCTATTATCACCAGTATCAACAAGTGGCCAGAAAAAGTCAACTGATGAACAACTAATTAAGAGGCAAGAACCTTAACTGATCCTAAATTGGGAGGGGGAAGATCTATGGAGGAGATTTTGAGGATGACTAGAGATCTGGACTATGTGTTGTTAGATAATGCTACAGAATTATTTTCATTTTCTCAGGTGTGTTTATTGTGGCTATGTAGAAGAGTACGTTTAATGTTAGGAGACGTACACTGAAGCATTTAGGGGTAAAGTGTCATGATGTCTGAAACTTATTTTCCCTTTGAGGGGAAAAAAAAGAACAATAAAGCACACGTGGTAGTATGCCATCAGTTAATGAAAGGTCACAGGGTATCTATAAAGTCCTTTTGTAAATCTGAACGTTTTCAAAGCAGAAAGGGGGGAGGAAAATCATCTTTTTTTTTTTTTTTAAGTTTATTATGTAGAGAGAAACAGAGAGAGAGTGTGTGTGCACGAAAAGGTGCACGTGCAAGTTGCAGAGGGACAGAAAGAGAGGGGGAGAGAGAGAATCCCAAGCAGGCTCTGCACTGCCAGAACAGAGCCCGATGCGGATCTCAAGAGCCATGACATCACAACCTGAACCAAAACCAAGAGTCAGATGATTAACCAACTAAGCCATCCAGGCGCTCCAAAACAATCATCTTATGATTAAAGTTTAACCTAGGCTTACTCATATAAGCCTTATTTATAGCAAGCTTTGGTGATAAAATTAGTGATGGCTTAAAATGTTTAATGGTGATGTGTTAAAAATAAGATATATACATTTTCCTGTTTACTCTTATGTCTAAGATTTTAATACAATAATTTTTATATCAAGGTAACTGCAGATAAGAATTATGCAATAAAGAACATAAAAATCAGGGGCGACTGAGTGGCTTAGTCAGTTAAGCATCTGACTTGATTTTGGCTCAGGTCATGATCTGGTGGTTCAGGAGTTCAAGCTCTGCACTGGGCTCTGTACTGACAGTGCAGAGCCTGTTTGGGATTCTCTCCCTGCCACCCCATTCGTGCTTCCTCTCTCTCTCTCTCTCAAAATAAATTTTTTTATTTTATTTAATTATTGACAGAGAGAGAGAGCACGCATGAGAGGGGGAAGGGCAGAGAGTGAGGGAGAGAGAGAGAGTTCCAAGCAGGCTCCAATGTGAGGCTAGATCCCATGACCATGACATCATGACCTGAGCAGAAATCAAGAGTGGGATTGCTTAGCCAACTGGGCCACCCCAGGCACTCCTAAATAAACTTAAAAAATAAATAAATAAAAGGGGGCACCTGAGTGGCTCAGTCGGTTAGATATCCAACTTTGGCTCAGGTCATGATTTCACGGTTCATGAGTGCAAGCCCCACATCGGGCTCTTTGCTGTCAGCACACAGCCCATTTCGGATCCCTTATCCTCCTCTCTCTCTTTCTTTCTCTCTCTCTCTGCCCCTCCCCATGTGCACGTGCACCCATGCTCTCTCTCAAAAATAAACATTAAAAAAAGTTAAACTTAAAAAAAGGAAATACAGGGTGCATCTTATGACAGCCTCTCAGACATGTAAAAAAAATTACCTTTTTTACTATAAAAAATCACAATCATTTACTTCACTGGTAAAAACTTTAAATACAAGGAGAAAAGTAAGCATAATTAAAGACCTTTGTCTTTTTTTTTAAAGTTTATTCCTTTATTTTGAGAGGGAGAGAGCATGAACACAAGCTCGGGAGGGGCAGAGAGAGAGAGAGAGAGGGAGAAAGAATGAATCCCAAGCAGGTTCTGCACTGTCAGCACAGAGCCCAAGGCAGGGCTCAAATTCACGAACTATGAGGTGATAACCCGAGCTGAAATCAAGAGACACTTAGACCGAGCCACCCAGGTGCCCCAAAGACCTTTGCCTTCTTAAAACAAATGAGAAACAGCTTTTTATAACAGCTCCCCTCCAAAAAAAATTCACATGTAGATTTACCTCTATATTATATTCTGCCCCATCTGTGTTGATTCTTACTGTAATATCATCATCTCCTATGTGGGCTAGAACTCTAGAGTCAGGCTCACCTTAAAAGAAAAAAACATTCCATCATTAAGAAATACTTATATCAAAAACTAAACTATGCACCAGTGTCAATACAAATCAACCAAGCCCTTCATCAGAGTGGAATCTGCCTAGGGACTGTAGAAATCTACACCAAAGAAACACAGGCCCCAGCGAGCAGCAAGGTATTCACACTCCTAAAGAGTAGCCTCAACTCATTTAAAACCTCTTTCTCTCAATCCTCCTATGAGAATTATCTAGAGCGTGTTACAGACAAAACAAAAAACAAAGGTGTAGATGCTCTTCTGGAATAACTTTACCTACTTTTGGTTAAGAAAGAACTAAGATGAGGCAAAAAGCACGATCTGGATCATACAGGGCTTGAACTGCACTATTTGCAGATTTTAATGCCATTTCTTTTTTCTGCAAAGGAAGTTTCAGAAGTAAACCACAATTGCTTGTTTGATGTAGGTCTTAAAAAAGTACTTAACAGGATCGTAAAGCCAATTATTTTATCTTTTAGCTTCCCTGTTTGAAATCTCATAAGGGAAGCCTACAATCCTTTCCTAGAGTCAGGAGGAGGTTAGATTCTTATCACTTGAGAGGAAATTCACTTTAATCATTTAAACAGACAGTATACGTGCTGGATAATACCCATTTATTCCTGTCTGAATGTTCCCGCTTTCAAACTTATATACCTCAAATAAAACAAAGAATGGCACTTCTTTGACATCCCCTCTTCCCCCCACCAAAAAAGAACAGGCAATCAAGCGAGATCCAGACACCCGACACCCGGGACACAAGGGCAAACAAGCAAGCTCCGTACTAACCGACCACGTGTCCAGTAAAGAAGTCCTGCCACTTGACGGCATACTCGCTTTCGTCTTTACCATCTACCACCACGACTTTGAAATTCTGGGAAAAGCGTTCAGTACTTGACGTCAGGTATAATTTAAAATGCCTAAGGAAAGATTGCGTCCATATTTTACTCAAAGCACATTAAAGTTTCGCACAAAATTTTACTCCAAGAACATGAAATTGAAGTTTCTTTAAAAAGCTGACAAGACGGGGAGCCTGGGTGGCGCAGTCGGTTAAGCATCCGACTTCGGCTCAGGTCACGAACCCATGGTTTGTGGGTTCAAGCCCCGCGTCGAGCTCTGTGCTAACAACTCAGAGCCTGGAGCCTGCTTTGGATTCTGTGTCTCCCTCTCTCTCTGCCCCTCCTCTGCTCGCCCTCTGTCTGTCTATCTGTCTCTCTCTCTCTCAAAAAATAAAAGCATTTGGGGCGCCTGGGTGGCGCAGTCGGTTAAGCGTCCGACTTCAGCCAGGTCACGATCTCGCGGTCCGTGAGTTCGAGCCCCGCATCAGGCTCTGGGCTGATGGCTCAGAGCCTGGAGCCTGTTTCCGATTCTGTGTCTCCCTCTCTCTCTGCCCCTCCCCCGTTCATGCTCTGTCTCTCTCTGTCCCAAAAATAAATAAAAACGTTGAAAAAAAAATTTAAAAAAAAAAATAAAAAATAAAAATAAAAAAATAAATAAAAGCATTAAAAAAAAAGAATTTGGCCAAGAAAAAAAAAAAAACAGAATTGCGGGGAAAAAGGATTTAAAGAATTTATGCATTCATCTTTTCTGGAGACTGTGAAGAGTAAGGAAACACATGGAGCACCTGGGTGACTCAGTCGGTTAAGTGTCCAACTTCAGCTCAGGTCATGATCACATGGCTCATGGGTCCCAGCCCCATGTCGGGCTCTGTGCTGGCAGCTCAGAGCCTGGAGCCTGCTTCAGATTCTGTCTCTCTCTCCCTGCCCCTCCCCTGTTTGTGCTCTGTCTCTCAACAATAGATAAACACTAAAAACATTTTTTTAATAAGGAAACCCACATCTAGACAATTTAAGTTAAAATCCTGCTTGTCTGAAATATTTATCAGAAACTGATATTACTAGCCACCACTTACTGAATACCTGCTCAGCACTACACGCTTTCTTTACGCTTAACACAGTAAAAAGTGAGCGTTGGAGGCTCATCAACATATTCAAGGTTACACAGCTAGTAAATGATGAAACTGGAAACTGAACTTGGTTTATTTCAAAAGCCCGTGCCATCCTGCCTCTAGCAATCAAGCTGGTCTTACTGCTGTGCAAAATTAATAAATGCTACTTTCTATATTTAAAAGCACTCAAGCTTTATTTTTCTCCTTCTAAAGAGAACCTATCTTGAAAAAAATTAATCCACAATTACTATCAGGAAAATAAATACAAGGTATCCAACACAAACATTAAAATACATACACCAGTTCTTTAGTTGGCTTAATATTCTTTTGTTTTCTACCAGTTTCAGTCCTGACACAAAATCTGGGTGTGGTGAGCAAGAATTTTTCAATTATTCTTTACCCTCTCAGTGTGCCCACGAACACCGAAGATAAAGATGTGATTCATCTCAACCACAGGAACAAATTTTGTCAGGTGTGGGGTTAAAACCATGAAATGTTAATTCCCTGTGGGTATGGGTAAGTCTGAATTGCCAAAAAGAAGCTAGACTGGGACTGTCTCCATGGTAACATATCTTTTTAACTTTTTGTGCCTAACAAAGTAGTTTTAGTTTGCTTGTGGTTTTTTTAATGGTCAGAGGGAGAGACAATAGGACATTATTTCAGAAACCCTTGAAACATTTGCTCCTGTTATCCTAAAACATATCTTCCCACACACTCACAGCTACGAACTTTTCCCCGTCAGTTTTGCCGAGGACTCTGAAAGGAAAAGCATCCTATTGTAAAGACTTATTTAGTTTCAGAGTCCTCGGGCAGTCTCAATATTACTTTTATTGAATGTTCTTTCCAGAAAAATCACTGGACTCCCACTCTTTGTTTCCGACATTAAAAATCTGCTCTGCTGTAAAGACAAGGACCCAGAAATGGTACCACTGTTTTCTGACATTCCAATCTTCACCTCTGAGCTATAAAAACCTCCGACAGGATAGGTCAGTCGGAATTTAGATTTTGCTTTGTCCTACCAAAATTATGTGAAATCACGTACTTAGAGACTTCCTTCAGCAGTTTTGTTTCTCTCAGTTTTAAGGATTTACAGTAACTACAAACTAGTGTCAATCCACCTGAATTAATGGGGGCGCCTGGGTGGCTCAGTCGGTTGAGCATGAGACTTCAGCTCAGGTCATGATCTCGCAGTTCGTGGGTTCGAGCCCCATGTCAGGCTCTGTGCCGACAGCTCAGAGCCTGGAGCCTACTTCAGATTCTGTGTCTCCCTCTCCCTCTACTCCTCCCCAGCTCATGCTCTGTCTCTCTCAAAAATGAATAAACATTAAAAAAAATTTTTTTTAATCCACCTGAATAGTATTTTCCTATCCTTTTCTGTATAGATAATACAATGACTAATTAAATCTGTCACCACACAGTTACAAATTTGTTTTCTTTTGATAAGAACTTCTAAGATCCACTCTCTTAGCAACCTTCATATATACAATATTAATTATAGTCACCATGCTGTGCATTTCATCCCCATGACTTATTTATTTTATAACTGGAAGTTTGCACCTTGTAACTATTTTCAATGGTCCATTCAGCTGGATATGGAAGTTCCAATGTCACTTCCATTTCTTTATCAGTTCTAGCCCCCTTCAAGTAACTCGAGATATTTCACTCTTAAGAGGAACAAGGGGTGCCTGGGTGGCTCAGTCGGTTAAGCATCTGACTCAAGTCATGAGCATCTGGCTCAGGTCATGATCTCACTGCTTGTGGGTTTGAGCCCCATGTCTGGCTCTGTGCGGACAACTTGGAGCCTGGAGCCTGCTTCAGATTCTGTGTCTCCCTCTCTTTCTCTCTCTCTCAAATATAAAATAAAGAACATAAAACAAAAAATTAAAAAAAAAAAAAGAGGAACAAATACCTAAATCTTTTTAAGGGTAACATTATCAAAAAGTATTAAAACAGGCACGCCTGGGTGACTCAGTCGGTTAAGCCTCCAACTTTGCCTCAAGTCATGATCTTCATGGCTTGTGAGTTCAAGCCCCACATCAGGCTCTGTGCTGACAGCTCAGAGCCTGGGACCTGCTTCAGATTCTGTGTCTCCCTCTCTCTCTGCTCTCCCCTGCTCTCACCCTGTCTCTCTCTCTCAAAAAATAAATAAATAAATAAACATTTTTTAAAAAAGTATTAAAACAGTATTTTTAACTTTTTCATTACTTTAGAATAATAGTATTTTTTGACTTATGAAACAGAGGAAATGTAACTTCTAGGCATATTTCAAACAGTTTTTCTTCATAAAATTACTTTTTAAACCCTCTTACAATTTCTCAGTGCTTCCATGCTTTTCAACTGCTAATAGTCACACACACATTTAATTTTATGATCATGGTTTAAATTACTCTGCCTTTTACTACTATCCACAAAATCTAATCATTTACCATCACCATCAAGTAATGAGTGACTTCATATTGGTAAGTTCAGCTGTATATAAACAGATCATTTCAAATACCCTAATTTTTTTTCTTTTAACAACACAGTGTAACAGAAAGAAGGGGTGTGCGCTTTGGAGTCTGACAAACCTAGTTTAGTTAAATCCTGTCTCCACCACCTGCTTCATGCTTGATCTTGGCCTTAACCTCTGAACCTCTGAACCTTCATCTACAAATGAAAATAATACCACCTACTAACTGAATGGTTTCCAGGGTAAAATGAAATCAACTATTTTAATGTAACTGGTCCAAAGTTATCGTTCATTGTTAGATACATTTCCACTTAAACATCTGAGATGGAAACTGTAAAATAAATTACAAATTTCTCTGCTGCCTTACACAGAGATGATAATAGGTAGATATTGTTGAACATTTTCTTAATGAATCAATGGCATCTATGAAGCAGGAAAGAATATGGAAGGCTACGGGAGTATTTTCCTCCACAGAAAAGTTTCTATGAGGTACCTCAAACCTAACTTAAAAAAAAAAACACACACACACAAACAAAAAACCTTAGAAAGCTAAATTGTGAGTTCTTATTTTGCAGTTTTTCCCTTTGCTCCTATTCATCTCTCACTACTATATCCACTCCTTCACCAAAATCTCCATCAGCACAGCAGAAATAACACAGGCTTATCATCAAATCCTTTATCTTCTACTACCGGCTGAATGACCTTGGGCAAGTTACCCAACCTCTCTGAGTCTCATTTTTTTTTTTCCAGAGATTACAAAAATTCCTTTGTGGAGTACGGTAAGAATTAGAGATAATAGACGCAAAGGGCCTCCTGAAGTGAATGACACAAAATAAGCAACTGATAAACTATAATTATCACCACTCTGCTCAAATTTGCTACAAGTCTGGAAGCTCTATCACCAATATTGCAATATTTTGACATGAACTCTTAAGAGAAAGAAATTATTCAAAAAAATCTAAGGATGATGGCAGTAACTAGGAAAAACAAAATGACATTGTAAAATATATTTTCATAAAATATCAGTTACACATATGATAAATATGCTAAACATGACTCTGATTCAGTAACCAAAAGAATCCAACAGAAAAATGGTAAAAGGATATGAAAAGGTAGACACAAACAAATGACTTAGACGTGAAAAGATGATCAATTTCACAAAAAATGACCATCAAAACAACTATGAGATACCATCCTCTTTCACAGGGACAAAAAATAAAGGCTGATAAAGCCTTACTGGAAATGGGTAAACTCATATACTGCTGCTAGAAGAATAAACTGGGCTGGGAAGAAATATGGTAATATCAGTAAACAGTTATAGTATATATTTCCTTGACCCATTCTCCTTTCAGGAATGTATCCCATAAAAATACCTAGACGAGGTATTTTCACGAAGATATTTATTACAACATTATTTGCTATAGGAAAAAAAAAATCACTTTGGTTAGACATATCTATTTGTAGGTTACTAGCCAATAAACAGTTACAATTCTATGCAACAGGAATATTATGCAGTTGTTAAAAATGATACACTTATCTATATCACCTACATGTATACGGATCTGTATGCAAAAAATATGCCTTAAAAGCTTTTAGAGGTTTATACAGGAAACCTCTCTGGATCTGGGAAGTTTGATTGAGGAGGAAGTGAAAACTTCTTATACCCTCCATAGTTGGCTTTTTAAACCAAATATATGTATTACTTTCCTTTTTTAAAATACTTGTTTGGGGGGGGGGGTTGAGCATCCAACTTCAGCTCATGTCATTATCTCACAGTTTGTAAGTTCGAGCCCCACGTCGGGCTCCGTGCTGACAGCTGAGAGTCTGGAGCCTGCTTCAGATTCTGTGTCTCCCTCTCTCTCTCTGCCCCTCCCCCACTCGTGCTCTGTCTCTCAAAATTAATAAAAACATTAAAAAAATTTTTTTAAATATTTGATAGGGAAGACCTAACCTATGAATATAGAATGATTCAGTCCATTTATATTCTCTCAGTGTTTGTTTTGATATTAGTAAAGCTCCCTAAAAAGATTTTAGAAAAAGGCCTGCAATTATCTATCACTTACATCTACAAAACATAAGAGAAAGTAAGATTACTGCCCAAATAGATCACATCTATCAATTTATGCTACAACTTAACGGGAATTCAATATATGCACAGCACTGAATTCTACATCCAGCTTACCACCAGGCTGTGGGGTCCTGAACAAATCCTTTACCTCTAAACTTTAGCATCTTCATATATAAAATAAAAATATTTTACATAGCTGATGGTTCTAAAGTAGCACAAAAAATTTAAGGTATTATAAATCAATCAATCAAAATCCTTTGTTAGAACCCATCCCATAAACATTATTACCATCATTAATACCTCTAGAATACCCATTTGCTTGTTTTTAATAACCATCACTATGAATTTTAGAATAAGCAGTATTAAGAATCATGACCAACTGTAATTATATCAATTACAAATTTTTAAAATGTAACTTCCTAAGACCTCAGTAAACACCTTATTTTTCTCCTTTTGCCAAACTAAGTCCCTCATTGCCCCAATATTTTTCTATAAATAGTTCGAATTACCTTTTCAAGGCTGAAAAAGTTAGTAGTGTTTCTAAATGTGTTGAGGCTTGTAGATCGCGTTTTCTTACTGAGTGCTGCTGGATATTGGATAAAGAGAGGATATCGTAGTCTGAGAGTAAAGAATCAAGCTTTTCTGAAATAAAGGTAAAAAGGTTATTAACACCTAAACTTACTAATCAATTGTAATATCACTAAAATGACAAGTTCTGACAACAAACTCTTCCTGACGCATTTTGAAGTGCTAAGCATAACCTATGAAGCATTCTTGCCCCCCCAAATTAATTAATTAAAAGGCAAAAAACACAAATCGAACCTGAATTTAATCAAAACCTAACTTCCACTTTTTAAGACATAAAGGGATTAGATTGCCAAATTAACTAACAACCTTAGGAAGCAATCAGCCACACCCAGAATGTTAGAATTCCTACAGAACAAATGACCCAATTTCTTCAGGAAATAAATGGCATGGGAAAGAAGGGTGGGGCAGAGACAAAACACAGCAGTCCTCCCTTATCTGAGGCTTCCAGTTCAGAGCTTTCAGTTACCCAAAGCCAGCTGTGGTCTGGAAGCAAATGATCCTCCTGATCTACCGTCAGAAGGTCAATACACAGTAGCCTAACACTAGGTCAACATGCCTACATCATTCACCTTACTTCATCTTAACATGTATGCAGTTTAGTTTAACAGCTCACACTGTCACAAGGGTAAGTTCAGCAAAATAAGACTTTAGGAGGGGTGCCTGACTGGCTCAGTTGGTAGATCATGCGACTCGAGCTTGCAGTTGTGAGTTAAAGCACCATGCTGAGCATAAAGCTTACTTTAAAAAAAAAAAAAAAAAAAAAAAAAAAAAGATTTTGGGAGAGACCACATTCGTATAAACTTTTATTACAGTATATTGTTATAATTGTTCGATTTTGTTATTACTGTTGTTTAATTCTTACTCTAATTTATAAATGAAACTTTACGATAGGTAAGCACCTACAGGAAAAGACACAATATATCACAGGGCTTGGATAGTACTATCCATGGTTTCAGGCATCTACAGGGTGGAGGGAGGGGTGTCTTGGAATGTATCCCCCACAGATAAAGGGAACTACTATAGACAAGAATATGGCAAGCAAGCCAATGTGCGAACCTTTTTTTTTTTTCTAAAAGATTTTATTTTTAAGTAATCTCTCCACCCAATATGGTGCTCAAACTCACAACCCCAAGGTCAAGAATCACACGCTCTACCAACTGAGCCAGCCAGGCACCTCGACCTTTTTGGATCCTAGGTCAAACAAACCAATGTGAAAAGATACTTGTGACAATTAGGGAAATCTGAACATGAGTTCACATTCATACTAGCTACTAATAATTTTGATATCTCAAAGAGTATCATGTTACGAATGAGCTAATTTCTAAATTAAAGGCATTTCCGGCCTGTCAGCTTAGAATTGCTAAGATGAAGGTGACCAACTCAAACTGACCACTGCTAACCAGGGCTATATCAATTCCTTAACAATTCATGTGTAGTACGAAAGAGCAACAAATGTATTAATGGCCTGAACAAACCGAAAGTAAATCTTTTACAGAAAAATTACATATTCCAAATTAAAGAGCAAAAAACAGGTACTATCCCCATCACTGCTCTCCTCAACAGACACAGCAGAATGATCAATCCACTGGACATGAGGAAGTAGAAGTGATATGACCAAACTAATCCCTGAAAAAAAAAAAAAACCAACATTAATTATTTTACTAGACTGACTTGGAACCCAAGAAAAGCAAAGATGCACTACCCCAAAAACAAAACATGCACAAAAACATTTTTATTTGGTATAGAGCAAGAGTAAACACTATAAAGTATATGATACCCATGTAAGTCACTTTTCATCATCAGCTCTGCTGCCTCTTCCAAAATCAGGAGGATTTTTGGAAGACTATTTTGGTGACTGAAGTCTGTAGAAATTGTCTAAAAATATTGGAGCTGATGTTTTCCTTTTCTCTCAACAAATACCACTACAGAAGCAATGGTGTTCAAAATCATTCCACTGGACTTAGAATGTCCTTAAAATATAACACCAGGAGCTTAAAATACAAGTATATTGTTACTGAGGTTAAATATGCCCACAAAACCACTTTGAAAAGAATTGATCCAAAACTCATCCCTCTTCCCCTAAATATCCTCAGTTGGTTGAGTCACCAATTCATTAATTCCCTCTTATGTGCCAGGCACTAGTCTAAGTACTGATATCGCATTAAATAAAGCAAAGTCCTTGTCTACTGAAGTACTCATTTTAGTGTGGGAGAGACAGACAATGCACAAAAATGTCAGTACTGTGGACGTTAAAGCAGGATAGCAAAGACAGGCAGTAGGCAGGACCAGTTTAAGAAGAGGGGTCAAAGAAGGAAAGATGCTTCACTGTTGCATAATATTTAGGCAAACCTGAAGAAAACAAGAGGTAAGCATGCTGTTATATGATGAAAGTAAATTTTTTTTTTTAAGTGGTGCCATGCCCAACATGGAGCTCAAACTCACAACCCTGACATCAAGAGTCACAAGCTCTAACGTCTGAACCAGCCAGAGGCCCCGAAAGTAAATTTCATCAAAATCCATTCAAGGCTCTAACTCAAGATAAGATTAAATAAAATGGCAGCAAAGTTCACATTTTTGGGTACCATTGATTTTCCATCAATAAAATTTCCTTTAAAATTTAATCAACAGAAAAGCTGTTTCAAAAGGCATCACTTTTATGCCAATGGATGGTTGTTGATTTGGCATTATTAATTATAACACTTAGCAGTACCAATGAAAACCTTCAAGAAGCTAACCATTTATTCAAAAACTTTTTTTACTTTTTTTTTTTTTTAAGTAGGCTCCACACCCAACGTGGGGCTCAAACTCATGACCCTAAGAATCACATGCTCTACCGACTGAACCAGCCAAGTGTCCCTATTCAACAATTTTTGCGTGTGAACTTCCTACAAGACACTTTGCTGGATGTTTTATTACATTATCTACACAACATACCTAGCATAGTATCCCCATTTACAGACGAAGAAACAGACTCGGGGCGCCTGGGTGGCTCCGTCGGTTGAGCGTCTGGCTTCGGCTCAGGTCATGATCTCGCAGTTTACGAGTTCGAGCCCCGCATCGGGCTCTGTGCTGTCAGTTCAGAGCCTGGAGCCTGCTTCAGATTCTGTGTCTCCCTCTCTCCCTGCCCCTCCCCCACACACTCTCTGTCTCTCTCTGTCTCTCAAAAAATGAATAAAAAAAAGTTAAAAGAAAAGAAACAGACTCAAGGAGAATAATATCACAAGACTAATGCAGCACAGAACCAAGATTTGAACTTGGGCTTGTCTGGCTGAAAACCCCACACTTCACTGATGTCATATTTGTGAAACTCCTTAAAAATATCCTAGCTCTTCTTGGACCTTCTACTTCTTGACCTCCTACTTTCTGATGTGTCGACCAAACATGACCTTGCCTCTCTCTGAATTCTGTAGCCCTTTGTTTACAACTCTTTTTTCCAGTACTTCTGTGTTATATTTGTCTTATCTCACGGATTGTAAAACAGCCGAAAGGGAGCTGGGTTTTATTACTCACAGTATCCTTACTTCACAACACCCAGCATAGAACCTTGCAAAAAACAGCATTGCTGTGTGCACCAATTGCACAAATCCTCAATGCCAAGATGCTGATACAATCCTTTATAGCTCTTCAACTTCCTTGGTACAGGTTGGTACATGAACTCAGTTTCATTCAAGATCATAATCACTCCTACTGGCTGCAAACCTTAACCTCAATACTACAGTGTCATTGTCAATAAGATAGGCCAGTTGTTCTCAAAGTGTGGTCCCTACACCGGCAGCGCCACCTAGGAACTTGTTAGAAAGGCCAGTTTTCAGGCCTCTTCTCAGTACTAGTCAGTCAGAAATCCTGGGGTTGAGGCCCAGCAATCTGTGTTTAACATGCCTTCCAGGTGATGCTGATGCACTCAGGTCTGAGAACCCCTGAACTAGGCTCAAGGAAGTAGCTCAAAGTGAAGACAAAGCTTTAGGCACAAAGACGGTCCTTGTTCAGCCTTCCATTATTTTTAAGAACAAAAATCAGAAACAAGGTACATTAATAAACTGAGAAAAAGATACATTATAGCACTTCAAAATGACAAAAAAAAATCTACAATCATTAAAAACGCTGGGAACGATAGGTTTCTAAGAACATGGGAAAATACACTATAAGTAAACAAGATTAAGACAACAAGGATAAATAAACAAGAGTAGATTTAAAAAAACTATTCATATTGCATGATCTTAACTATGTATAAAAATAGGCCTAGAAAAAAGAAAGAGCGCGATAGTAACATCACTGGTTATCTTTAGGTATATTTTCCATAACAAGCACCTTTAAAATGTAGCTTGCTAAAGTACTTTGAAATACCTAAGTAATGTGTTTCAACTGTAATGTGCCATATTATAATTACTAGATATCTCCCACTGGATGCCCTGGCACCACTCCCCTCGTCCAACAGAGATCCTGCTCTCAGTAGCGCCTGCACCAGCAAGGAGTCTCTCAGATACTTCGCATTCCACCGTACCTCACCTCCGAAATTCCAACCACACTGGTCATCTCAACTTTCAATTGCTTTTTCAACAGAATTTGAAATAATTCCCAAGAGTTTATCTTTTATCCATATCCAAATCTCGGAATAAACTTAAACAGAATCCATTTAATTGTCTTTCTTAGCACTCCACCAAGGCTGCCCAGCACTGTCTACAATGAGGACATCTTCCTTGCTTTCTAAGTCCTTCCAGCAGTCCCGTAAACAACTGAGCTTTTTTCTCAGTTTAGCTGGCTACAAACACAAAATTAGAAAACAACAGACACAATTCAAAAGGTCAGACCAGAGTACTACTTTATTTAGGTACTGCCTACCATCCCTCCCTGCTCTTCTCTGCCACATGCTATGGTTTCCCTCACTCGGCCTCCTCTGTCTAGTTGTCCTTACTGCTTCTGTCCTTACTGCTCTCCTACCCCCACTGCTCCTCTCCTGCATACACAGTCTGCACAGTTTTCCTCCCTTCCACCAGACCCCACCTACTCATTTATTCAACATTTGTTGAAAATATCCCACCTTCCAGGCACTAGGG